ACGTTTAACGTATTTTTAACTATTTTCGATATATGTTTGAACTATTCGATATGTCCATAATGTAATTCTTGAAATAAACTTCGAAATGATACAAACAATTTGTAGATTCGATTAGCATACGATCGTAGGAGAATTTTTAAATTTTGTATATTTCGAAATTCAAATTTATTTTGATTTTGCCCCTGTTTGGTGGAGATTAAAATCAAATTTTTAGTAAATTTTGGTAAAAATTAAACAGTTATGGATTCCATGAAATATGTTATTAAAATTAATTGTTAACTTTGATTTAGATTAAAATTTAAATTTCAATCGGTACCAAACGTAATTTTATAGGAAAAAAAAAAGAATCTCAAAAGTTGGGGGGGGGGGACCTGCCCCCCAAGACCCCCCTGGGTCCGCCCATGTCTGTTGCTGATCCTCAGCAAGTGCACCCAACACTTCACGTTGTTGTGTTGATAAGTCCATCTGTTGACGCAATTGTATTATTGCTCTATTTCTACCAAATCTTCACGGATGGGAGTTATTCTACACGATAGCTTGTTCAAGGAGCATAGACTGGGGTCCGTTACCAATTGATGCAGCCAAATAACACGAGAAAAATATGATAGGAATTAACTTTGGATTGTCAACATTGATAGGTAAATAAATGTACTCTTGATAATAGAAATTTGATTGTTTATTAGACAAAATGATGATTCGCGTTGTTACCTCTCTGTCTACATGGCAGTCCGCATGGTCACCAGCTAAACAAAATACCACTCAAGCACCTATTTTCAGCCATCTACAGTTGCCTCAACCACCTCTCATTCTGAGGTGTTGGGGTGCATCCCTAATGCCTCCTCGACGATGACAACCTTCGATATCGCATCCCTAATGCCTCCTCGACGATGACAACCTTCGATATCACATAACTCCATGCAGACATATGTCACATTTCCATCCTAGGTCATCAACGAGGTCATAACCCCTAGCCATGTTAGATGGGCCTCTAGTCTCCGAGGCGGTTATGGTCCGAAGCTAATGCATAAGGACAACTGTGATGTGACACTTTGAGCCACATGCAATATAATTGATGTTACATCTATGTGCAAGAGTGATTGGGAGTTAAATTTCTTCTTTTTCGTTTAGGACAATTCATCAAATGTCAACAAGCCTATGAGAATTATGTTGTAATGTTTTGATACTTTCTAATATATAAGTCATTGAGATTAGATCGTGTTAAGCATCTAAGATCTTCAACCTCATTCATTTCCTTATAAATACTTAGGGTCCGTTTGATTGCAAAGTTGGAAAATGGGTGGAAAGAAAATGTTTTACAGGGAATTGATTTTCCTAAAAAATGTTTTACTGGGAATGGTAATTAATTGTGTTTGATTGGTAAAATTTTCTATGGAAAATGTAGAAAGTTTTGTGTCCATTTGA